AAGCAGATTGCAGGACTATATATCTAAGAGATTGACTGAGTTAAAGATTTCAGTGCATTTCTTTTGTCCTAAAGATATATCTAATTTTAAATGAAAGCTATGCATTTGTTAATACGAGCTTTTTGGTAGGAAAATTCTCTCTATCTGTACTGCAGAACTGGTGGAATACCATGGCCTGTGAATATGCCTCAGTTCATATTATTTTATATACCTAAAAATGTATGTCTGGCTTTGAAACTAGGGCATGTAGAGATTGAAAAATCTTTGAGTTCATGCTAGAAAAAAGTGCCATGAGGAGAGTTTTAACAATGAGATAGTAAAGGCTCAGAAAGGAAAGGGGAGAAGGAGAGACAACTTCCACCTTTGAAGAGAATATGTAATCATGAATAGGATGTTGGTAGAAATACAGAGGGTCAGCCCATTCTGAAGAGACCTCAGGGAGAAATGAAGCATGTGTTAATATTATCTGAAACTGGAAGAAAGACAATCCTTGTGCCTTGGCATAGGACTTGGATGAATTGTTTTGTGGAAGGCAGAATGATCAAGGCAGATGGCGGTAACCACTGGCATCTAGTCATGGAGCCAGAAATAGTGGAGATGGACCGAACCAGAGCTGTTGTGTTAAGAGATATTTTGCTTCCCTTCTATGAGGGTAAACATTGTGGGGACAACAGTATAGGCATGAGGCTTGGGGATAAAGGGTACTGCTGGCCAGAGAATAATGATTATATCAAGTATGGTCCCTGAATATTTGTTTTCTTACTCAAAGCTCCCTAGGACTGAGTCACAATGAAGAGTATCCTTATTTGAGTGTTTCCTTTTTAGGAAGCTAGGAAGCTGTGACAGCTAGATGTGGCACATCTTCCAAGAACCTAAAAGGAATCAAATTGTAATATGGATATGGATAAGCTTTGCAATCTGCAGAGTGGTATATGAATATTATACTCTTCCCCTGCTCAGGGTGCAGCATCTGACCTGCAAATCCTCAGAATGAATTAGCTTCTGATATAGGAAGAAAGCAAACATATATGTGTATACACATACGTGTACACAGGGCGGATATGTCGATTAGACTGGCAGCTTTGTATGCGCAGTATCTGTGCCATTCCTGCATCTGTAATGTTCTGAACATAGTCTAAAAAATACCAGTGCTCAATAAACATTTGTGATTAATAACAATTATGGTGCCTCTCCTTTTACTTGAGGTTTTTATGGGACAGACTCTCTCTTTTTGGGGCCAGATGGAGGAACTCATAGAACTGCTGACTTTTATTTCTATCGAGCACTGTTTATGTGCTTTTCATGGTGTGAGACAACCATTCAAGGATTGAGTACTAAAAACCTGCAGCTGGGAAGCAGCGTGTCTAGTGACTCGGCATAAGGCCTTGGTGAGATGCAGGCATGTCTGGAAGTTGTGGAAACAAGATCCAGCCCAGAAAGCAGTGCTTTGTTTCCTTGGGTACAGGTTTCCCCAGTTCACACTGCTGCTAGAGAATGGGTCTTTCTTACCCAGAGACCTGGGGTGGGTAATAGGCTTGTCATAGAAAGACCAAGCACACTAGACCAGCCTGGCCAGTAAATAGCAGCACTGGGTGGGATAAGGTGGCTTGTGAGTCACAGTGGCCTGTGGTCACTGTGATGAAGGGAGTCACTGACAGACATGCAGTAGGTTAGGTCACAGGCAGTGTGTGACCGGAAGGCCAGTTTGACCACAGATGCAGAAAGTTATCTAAAAAGGAAGAGAGTGTTCGGAATGCAAACAAGCCCAGAACCAGGTGACTTTATCAGCCCCAGGGCTATGTCAGGTACAAAAAAGAAAAATGGGGCAGAGAGGTGTCAGTAACACAGAGGACAAAAGCAGAAATATCAGGAAAAGCTCTAATAACCTATGTTTGTGACTTGTTGGGTAAAGCTCCTGGAATGGAATGAATACAAAGAGAGGCTAAGAGCCTACATAAGAATGGGAGCAGAAAGGATCAGGTTGGCCACAGTATGGTTACAGGAGATTATTGGGAAAACCACCTCCCTGATACGGGTCACTTGATGGGCAGAATGAAGCTGACATTTTTGTGCAAGAAGTGGAAATATTTGCACTGACCATGTTGACAAATCAATCTATCTATCTATCTATCTATCTATCTATCTATCTACCTATCTATCTATCTGTCTGTCTGTCCATCCATCTATCTATTCTAGGGCAATTTTTATTATCAATGTAATAACCTAATGTGGCTACCAAAAAATATTGCCTGAAAAAGAAATAACTGAGTCTGGGCTTCCAAGGCCAATTGTGTGATGGTAGTTGTGGAAAGGGTTGCTTTACAAATGACTTCTCAGTCAAGGACCTGCATTCATTCCTAACAATGAAAAGGTGAGAACATTGATGTTTGCAGAGGATTCCATGCAGGCCTCTTCAACTTTTCAGGAAGAATGAGCTGGGGGAGGGACTACCAGACATAAGTACTCATTTATTTGGAGTCAGAGAGCTTAGTAAAAGGCAATTCAGATTACTTGATGCCAAAGTTGGCTAAGAATCGTTATATACATAAATATTTAAACAGTTATGATGCCTGAATTAAAAGAAAGGATATTTAATCTGTTAACAGGGAAACTGAGGGAGGTCTTTGTTATGCTAACGTTTTGCCCCCACTTTATTTAAGAAGAGGCTTAACACTCCTAGCTATTCCAAAACTATTGATTCTTTTTTATCATGGGTCTGGGAAACAGACAAAAGACCATATATGATATCACTCTAATGATTTAGCTTAAGAATCTGTGAACTGTGGAATCATGATTGTTAGGACTGAGAGACACCTGCTCACCTTTCTGAAATGAGGAGCTGAAAATATTCTGAGATTCAGAAAGGGTAAGGGATACAACGTTGACCTTTCGGCGACAGGAAACCTTTGATGAACTATAGGACATCAAGACAGTTCATTTAAAAGATGGTTTCAAAGCATTATCCAGGGATGCCTTCGTCAAGCTCTTGGGCTGTCTTTTTACATAAACCAAGGAAATAATGGTTTCCACAGTTGTTCCTATGTCGGCAACCCTCGTGTGGTACCTCAGCTTCTGGGCTTTGTAACTGCTTTTCACTGTCTTTTGTGAGCAAAGTTAAATTTCTCTTACCATTTGACAGCATGGAACTTTCTCGAGATGGACTGCTAAGAAGAAAAGAGACAGGAAAAAGGTCACCAAACCATTCTCATGTAATTAAAGTGGTGCAAACAGTGAAACAAACTATTACTGATGACATTGACTTGATTCTGTAATGTGAGTCCCTTCTCTAGTCTGGGAAAGTTAAGGGTCAGCTGCTCACAAAATGTACAGATTGTAAATCTTGGTTGTAAGTAACGTTGTGAATACTTTAAAAGACAGGTTTACTGATTTCCTTCAGGGCTGTGTTTAGACTCACTTTCTCTCTCTCTCTCTCTCTCTCTCTCTCTCTCTCTCTCTCTCTCTCCATATATATATATACTCATATACAATTAAAATCTATGCATGTATACACATACAAATATGTATATATCTGAGCATATGTACACATACATATAAGTATCTGTGTCTGTTTGCTTTTTGGTAGTGTTTAGGTTAGAGCCAGGACTTCACACATGCTAGACAAGTGCTGTATCACTGAGCTACACACCCAGTGACATGTTTAGAATTAAAGTACAGAATGATTAATAAAAAGTTAAAGGAAAAATAGCTTTCAACTTTGACTTATGGACTAAGACTGGTCATCTACTAAGGGAAAGTATGTAATCAAGGAGTGAGACTGTCCTTTTTAAAATCTCTGTCTCTGTCTCCATCTCTCTCTCTCTCTCTCTCTCTCTCTCTCTCTCTCTGTGATACTGGGGATTGAGCACAGGGTCTTCATGCTGAACTACACCACTGGCCTTTTTTCTTTCTTTTCTTTCTTTCTTTCTTTCTTTCTTTCTTTCTTTCTTTGTCTCTTTCTTTGTCTTTCTCAGTTTTCATCTTTAGACAGGGTCTCTCCAAGTTGCTAAATGGCTCAGGCTGGGCTCGAACTTGTGACCCTCTTACCTCAGTCGGAGTAGAGGGATTGTAGATACACAGCACCACATCAGGCTTGTATTAATCTCATAAGCACCCGAAATTCAAGGTAATCAATACCTCTAAAATCTTTTGGTGCTTAATGAAATCGTCTAAATATACACAACGATGTTAATCCTTCAAAAATGCTGAGCTTAACCTTAATCAGAAACTTAAGTAAGTTCCAAAGCTGTGTCTGCGTCTAGCAGGCACGTTGTTATTCAGACACGCAGAAGATAACAGTAATAGGGATGCCGAGTGGCATGCACTCTCCTGAACTTCCAAGCTAACAGAGGAGACCAAGAAATAGTAACTCCGTGTTGTGTGATGTGAGATGCAGCTCCAGGTCCGGGGGAAACGTGGAAGCGAAAGTGATGCAGAGTGCTGGGTGTGCATCAGGGGCCATTTCCTTCTAGGAGAGATACTTCTGCGTCTCTGTATCACCCATTCTCTGACAGCTGAGGAATGAGTCTTGGCAGTCCAGAGACTGCTTTGTGTCCTGATGATTTGAGAAAAGATGTTGAAGGGAAGGGCAAGGTACTAGAGTTTACACAATGAGGGGCTGAGGAGCCCTCAGAAAGAGATGCTACTGGTCCATCATCCACCTCAAAGGCCCTTATGACAGCTGGAGCCGGCAGCCCCTTTCTGGGTTCCTGTGAGTTCTTGTCCATTTCCAGTACCGGATTTCTCACCCTCATTTAATAACTCACTTTTCGATTCTGTATTTGTCTGCAACATAACCAAAGTCAGGATGACCTCCCAGTGATTACCATAAAACCTAGAAAATAGCAGGTGTTCAGTAAATGTTTATTAAACAAGTACACTGATGACCTGCCGGCTGGCTGAGCACAAGGTTATGCACAGCTTGGGGATGAGAAAGTCAACCAATGCCTTGGTTCTCAAGCAACAGTTCATAAAACCTTAATGGTTTCATTTTTCTGTTTCAGATTACTAGCAGCATATAATAGCCTGACCGATAGACACCTGGCTGGATATTTTAACAATACCAGGATAAGGAGGCATCTCCTAAGAGCAGGGCTGGTAAGATTTGTTTTATTTTCCACCCCCCTTCTTGTTTAAATTCACTAATTCCCAACCTCTTTGAGTTAGTCACATCCTTTTTTTTTTTCTGTTCACTTCAGAAAAATTACTTCCTTTCCAAAGTTCTGATTTATTTATTTGAGGTTATTTCAAAAGATGAGAAGAGAGGTCACAATGACAACCAAGGAAACATAAATTATTGAGAAACTGTCTCTATTAGCTTTCCATGGCGTCGTTCGTTTGCTTATTCATTCATGTATTCAACACATATTTATTGAACACATTCTAGGAGCAGAAACTGTTAAAGCATGAGGCCAGAGAAGACTTTATTGTCTTTGGAAAAAAAATACTGTTTTAAATAATCACAGAATATGGTGTGGAAAAGATGAACAGTTCAACATTTCCCCTTGAATTTTCTTCAACTCTCATTTCATGTGATGGTTTATTGATACATTAGCATGTTCAATTAGCTTCAAATCTGTCCTTCCTACAAATTTCCATTCTTCAAAATGTATTTGGTACGAAATCTCTAAAGCATACTATGGATTTCCACTGAAAGAAAGGGGTGTGGTTGTAAAAAGTGTTCGCTATTTATTTGCTCTTTTAAAACACGATGGATTTTCTTAACCATTGTTGCCTTGGTGCTGAAAGAGCACACTTCGTGTTTTTCATTGTTATGTGCTTGGCACTGCAGCTGGAGAGATCTCAGAGTACTTGCTTCCTGTCTCCCGGGGCTTTGTTATCAGACCGACCTGGTTGAAACCTGGCTTGCCATTAACAAGACAGAATCATGAGCAAACTACTTACTTAACTTTTTCCCTCCCAACTTCCTCAATTGTGAAATGAGGATCATGATGCTCAGCCCTCAGAATTGTTAGGACAACAAAAGATGTGCAACTTTACGTGGCTATTAACATTGCTTTGTGGGGGGCAAGAGTCCAATGAGTTTCAGTGTGTAGAGGGCTTTGTGTTTACTCATCACCATCATTAACAAGCACTCCCTTCCAGTTACACGCACAGCATCTCAAAACAGGAAGATTTGGCCATCTCGAGAGCAGTGGTTTAAACAGAATCCTCAGCAGCGGCATTCAGCCTCACCTGGGAACTTGTTAGGGAATGCAAATTTGAGAGCTCTACCCCAGACCTCCTGAATCAGAAGCCTTAGGCTGGGGCCCATCAATCTGTTCTTCCTGGAGCTCTCCAAGTGATTCTGATCCAGGTGCAAGTTTAAAAGCCTCTGCCCTGTAGGAGCTTCTAGTCTAATTGGGGAAATCAGAAAGAGTCCAGAGAAGAGATGATAAGTTACCTGCCAATGGAATGGCAGTTGCAACTCTAAAGACTGCAGCTAGGTTATTTGTCATTTTAAGCACAATTTTTGTAACGTTTACCTTTGATTGGAAAAAATGGATTATGCATGTACTATATATGCTATTGATATATGTATGATAACATACACATGTGAGTTATTGATGGCTAATTGTCACACAGCTCTGGTTGATCTCAACACATATTTTGCAAAAAGTTAAACTACTGTTAGCACAGTGAAGAATAAATATGTGGCTTGGATTAACTTTAGAAGAAGCGTGGGGCTTGTGTCAGTGGAAAAGGTGAACCATCAGAAAGAATACCACTTTTTGTTTACAGGACATACAGAAAAATACACAAATATGCCCACGGGAAAGAGTCAAAGAAAAAGACATGAAAAACACACTGGCACTCCTGTCACATCCCGTGATAGGAATTGAGATTAATATTGAATACTTTCTATCAAAGTACTGTGTAATCTGTAAAATTTTAAATCACAACAAATTAAATGACTTTGTGGGCTGGAGCATAGAAAAAAGCAGTAGGACAACAAAGCAATGGAACCAATTATTTTTTAAAACAAGCCGATGAGATCCTCTGTAGCTGGCCTGTTTTGCTCTTCAAAGCCTTGTCTGAGAGCTCATCCATCCTGTGATCAGGGCTCCGGCTCATCATCTCGAGGTAGCCTGGCACCCGCCACTTCCCAGAGTGTGCTCACAAAGAGAAATGAAAAGAACACCTGGGTTCCATCAAGGGAAAGTCGTCCGTCTAATGAAAACCTTTTTTAAACGTCAGGTGCACCACCTGTATACATTTCCACAATGGTGGGTATCTGATTCTTCCTTTCGCTTTTTTGCCTTATGAAATATTCATTACAAGTGAAAGTTTATCAGCCGTAGTGGGGTACTGCTTTAGGCTTTGAAGATGTTGCCGCTTTCTCTATTATCACCTCCCCTCTTTCTATGTCTCAGTCTTTCGCTCCCTGCCTCCCCTTTTTGATGACTAACAACTAATTTTCTACTGTGTATTCCTGTGTTTATTGATTCCAGATCACAAGAAGTGGCAGAATACTCTCTGAGAAAGAATACAAACTAAATATAATGAAGCGGGATCATCAAAAATATATTCGAGAGTGCTTAGCCCAGGCTATTTTCCATAAAGTTCTTGATATGGAGGTACAACTATTTATTATTATCTTCCTTCCCTAAAATTTATAGTTTATAATATGATAACTAATAATGCTTCTGTACCCAGGCAGAGAATCCTTCATGCATTTCATGAAAAAGTAAATACAGCCCAGCAACTTCAGTACTCTGTGTCTCCAGGTGGGCAGTAGCCAAGAGAATAGAGTAAGCTTTCCTCCATCTCACTTGGGAAAAAATATGGACATCATAATATATTTCGTGATATTTAATTTTCTAAATGTAGATTTTTAATCTACAATGGCTACTCTGAAACATACCAGCCCTTACCATCTGTACCTTAATTTCCATTTGCTAAAAAAAGTGACATCTGTTTAAATATCAGTAATTCCACTGCCATGAATTATTTCAGATCTGTTATTCTTTTAAGGCTTCGAAGCTCAGCCGTATGTTAAGTTTCAAGGAATAGGCATTGAAACATCTGCCGTCCCTCCCACGTTAGGCCACATTGGTCAACATAGATTTACAACCCGAGCATCAACAATTTTTTTTTTATCAGACATGGCATTTTTAGTGGGATATCTAGCTAACTTGATAAATTATTTCGGCCTTGCTCCATGAAACTTGTAGTTTCAAGCATCAACACCATTTTAATCTCTGTGAAAAAGCTTGTCACTTCTTGGCTTGACCATACAGCAGTAAATCAGGAAACTGGGCTTGTAAAACCACTGACCTGTGGGTGCAATAAACATTTATGAACAACTGTAGGATCATCAGTAAACCAATACTAGAACTGTTAACAAGGAAAATATTTTTCATAATGCTGTCATATTGAACAAGTATTTGCTTAAGATGTGTGTGTGTATATATATATATATATATATATATATATTAATTTATGGATTTATTTTTTGCTTTATACTATATACATGAATTATATAGAATCACTATTTATGGCCCCCAAATTCACTTGCTCATAAGAGTATTATTTGGAATTATACAACTCTGTTAAAAAATTTGTACATCATGACATTAATCTATACCTTGCTTAAAATTTACTCAGTAGGTACTGAGTTTGATATTAGCTTGATCCTTGCAATTTGGTTTTCAGACACATTATGATAGATCAGAACTAAGCCACCTGGATGCACTGGATTTGGGTTTTGCTAATGTCCTAGATGTCTGACAGACCAATCTAGGTGACAATCAAGATTAACCATCAGCCTGGTGTCATGCATGCACTTGTAATTCCAATACACAGGGAAGCAGAGACAACGGGAATCACAATTTCAAGCCTGACCTGGGTGACTTCCTGAGATCTTGTCTCAAAAAAATAAATTTTGGGGATGTAGCTCAGTGTCAAGGGTTCAATGCTTGCTACTGCAAAAACTAAAATGAAACAAAACAGAAAAAAAAATCACTATGATGTATCCATCACAGTATTCATATTAACTTCAGGCTTACAACATGCCAAAATAGAGTGATATATTGCAGCTGTAAATATAATTTAAACATTATTTTGGGAAGTGACTCAGTGCTATTAGAAAGACCCAAACAAAATTAGCTAAGAAAAGAAAGGCAGGGTGGCTTCCTCTGTGGGGTCCAAGGAAACAGAACAGAAATCCTGCTGTTTGAAATGCATGTTTAAAAATGAATGAGAATGCCCATGAAAACTTGGCACAGGCATTCCATACAGTGAAGACAGCAGGTGTGAAATTCAGTACCTCATGAGTGGAAAGGCAAGCTCCCTGAGGCCAGCGTGTGCAGGGTTGGTTGGGACCAAAGGCAGGAAGTGACTCTATCCAACAAGTGGGGTCTGTTTCTGGAGATTTTAAATTCCCAACTTGGTTTGGAGTGTAGGTGATGAGGCGATGAAATGTTTCCCAGCAGGGGAGTGAGATAAATGAGCAGAACTGTTTTAGAAAGATGATGTTGCTAAAAATGTGGAAGATAGATTAATGAGCTGGAAAAGATTGGAGGTGGGAGGTCAATTAGGAAGCTGTTGCCAAAGGGTGTGGAAGAGCAGCAGTCCTGGCAGTGCTGGGGAGATGCAGCTGTCTAACAGAGGCACCGAAGAAGAAGAAAGCTTTAAAGCAACAGAACAAGGAGGAGTGAGAGAGAGCAAGGAGTGCAGGGTGACTCTGAGGCTTCCGGCCTGGGTTGGGGCAGGTGTACTTCCGGGGCACAGGGGCCCCACCGAGACAGGAAGCCTTCAGGTAGGAACACACATGGAGGAGGTCAGGAGGCTCTTACAAGCACCAGAATGCTTAGAGGAGAGGGATCCCTGGAAAAAGGGCAGTGAGGTTTAATCCAGGCCACAAGGACCTGGGTGGCCATGCTGCTCATGGTGATGAAGAGGACTGGCTGCCTGGAATGTCAGAAGTGAGTGGAAGATGCAAAGATGTTGACTGTGAATGTTTTAAAGCTTGCTGATAAGTGAATGAAAAGTCAGAGAAAGGGGAAAGGAAAGGAACTGTCAAGAAGAGGCTTGAGGATACTAAGGCGGTAAGTGACTGTCTTTGCAGGGTACCCAAGACAGTAGAAATGGATCAAGATCAGACAAAATCAACTACTCTCCCATCAATGAAATACCCTCAAATGTATCTCCATGGCTGCAAACTGAATTGTAAACAGATTCTTTTTCTTTTCTTTAGCTATGGGGAGTTGAACTCACATTTGCCAATCAGGCACTGTGCCACTGAGCTAAATCCCCTGCAGTGGCTTCTTTTTATCTTGTTTTCTTTTTAAATTACAACTTAAGATATTATAGAAACTGTGAAATCACAAGAAACATATAATAAAGGAAAATGATCACATATAGTTTCTAACTACATTTTTTAGTTTTATCTCTTCTGGTTTATACATTGATAAAGTCATGTTATGCTGTGAGACGGACATGATTTTAGAAAAAATAAACGAAAACAAAAATAAGCAGTTAATGTCAGAACAGGATTTGGATTATAAGTGTATAGCTGATTGAATATATGACCCGGGACAAGTTTATGACCTTCTGCCTCAGTGTCTCTGGAGAATGGGACTATGTGGTATTAAACACAGGGGTGCCTGGAAACCATAGGCACAGGGACAGACTGGCATTCCAGTATCACCAGAAATTTATGAGTAACCAATCAATGGAATTCAACAAATTAAAAAACTGCACAGCAAAAGAAACAACCAACAGAATGAAGACACACCTGCAGAATGGGAAATTTTTTCCCCAGTCATTCTTTTGGTAGAGGGTTGATCTCAAGAATATCTAAAGAACCCTAAATGACCCAATTGAAAAATACATAAATGAACTGAAAAGACACTTCTCCAAGGAAGAAGTGTAAGTGACTATTAAGCACATTAAAAATGTTTATCTCATACACAAAATAACTTCTTGCACAGAAACAGGTACATGATAAGGGTTTTTCATCAATTATGTTGTGCTTCTATGCAATTTTGAATTCAACTTTTTCTTGCATTATGTGTGTTTTTCATTTTAAAGAACAAAACCTTTGTAATCCCCAAGTCAGTGTTACATTCTATTCCATTATATGGATATACAAAGAATGTAACCATTCTCTTCAAAACTTATTTTAGTTTTGCCTTTTTGTCCAGAGAAAAGATGAACAATGCTTCTGGATAGCATTTTTGTGTGTACAACATTTAAGAATTACTATTCCGTTTCCTCCCGAGGTGTACTAACCGATATGTATTTGTAATTGGCTTTCTGTAGAATAGTGCCAATTTATAGTCCCACCTGCACACTTATGCAGGTGATTCTTCTCCATCTCAATGATAAGAGGGATAATTGAGAAGATAGTGGGCTATTGCACTTATTTTCCCCTTAAAAATTCTTTGCCGATTGATAGAGTTCTCTCTCTTTCCTGCATGCTTAGCGTTACCATCAGCTTGAAATAAAAAGGAAACTGGAAACTTTAGCTAGGAAGGAACGGATTCAGAGATTTAAGGTAAGGCAATATATATTCTATTTTATTCATAATATTATTTTATGATTTCAAAAACCACTGGTTTTATTACTGAAGTTCCCTAAGGCTCTTCATAGTTGAGTAACATCTAGCTGAGGTAAAAAAGAAAAGGTTCTACTGAGTCTAAATCTTGGCCGCCATCATTATAAATGATCGTGACAAAGTAGAAGCTGTTTGTGTGAAAAAAAAATTTAATAAGGTACAAGTGTTGCTAAGGCAAAAAAAAAATCAAGTTTAAAATTTTGCTTTAGTACTTTCTTGTGATAGAGCCCAAAAGATTTTTTTTCTGGCTAAGTAAAAATAGATGGTAATGTTCCAAACATAGTGACAAGTAGAGCTTTGTGAATTATACAATGGCATGTTTTCATGTGACTATCACCCTTGAAAACTGGTTGGGGGGAGATCCTCTTTAGAAAAACAAAGCAAAAATAAGATATAAGACATTTTGTTCTAGGCATTTAAAAATACCTTGCTTGTTTCCTATTTTTATATATGATATTCCTTCTTTGCACTGAACTTAGGAGCTATATAAATTTGAATCAAGGGATGAGACATTCAATTGGGCATGTCTGAAAGATTGCAGGTTAGACTGTCAGTTTTATTTGATTTCTTGAGCCATTCCAAATCACATGCTGCCTTTAATTTTTGGTGTAATGTTATAAACGTGGCCTCTAAGACATGCTTCAAAAATGGATGAGCATTCATAAAGCTTCAATAACTTGCCTCTTAAAACTGTGATTTTTTCCCTTTTGCCTGGTAGACTCAAATATGCTTCATCAGGGTCAAAAGATAAAAGATGATCTTGTTACAAAATGTTGTTAAGAGGCAGAAGATCTCTCAGGTTTTATAAAAGAGTTAGGCTGTAAAGATTTGAGATTGCTTTAGGTTTGCTGATGTTGTCCTATATCAAGGATTGAGTTACTGGTTTTCTCATTTATTTGCTGAAATGTTGATGGGGAAAACAGTTATTGGCCATAGAGAGTGAGCAGCAGTATTTGAAGCCCAGTTTCTGTGTATCTGTGTTTTGTTCACTCCTTTCCAAGTGGCCAGGCACAGTGACCTGCAAACACATCACGACCCTGGTCACTGACTGTAGAAGTCCAGGTCCTCCCTGTAGGATTTTTATTTGTCATACTTTTCACTACCTAACTGCAAATGGGAAAAAATGTTTTAGGTCCCTTTTATTTCATAGGAAACTCTCTTGACTTAGTGGCATTAGTAAATGATTTCTAAAATAGAAAAAGTACTGCTTTCTGGTAGTCTCTACTGATCGGACTGGTGAACAGCTTTGTGCTTTTTGATAGAGATCAGTTTACAGCAGGTCCATAAACCCTGTTGCTAAAACAGAGGAAGCACTGCTTCAATAGCTGTCTCTCTGTACAGATGAACAGATTCACTTCCCTGCCTTTCACCACCGCATCCAGTGCCCTGATGGCTGTGGAAACATCTTCTCACTACCCAGGTAGCCCTGAGGAGCAGCATTCTTGAGGGAATGAAGATGGACGTCTGTGGTCTCATAGTGAATCCTAAACCTATGTTGTATCATCTAGCCTGGATGACTAAGGATTGTATACCTGTATCCACTAAATCTCTTTCTTGTTCCAGGGGGAGCACACAAGACACTCTGTTCAAAATAACATGCCAATCCTGTCTCCTCATCCTCCGGCTGGCCCAAAGATGCACCGTGGTCCTAGTATTCTGGTTAATGAAGGACATTCTGGTCCATTAACACTGGTGAGTCATATTACCAATCTCCACCAATTAATGTATGATTTTCTACTAATCTCAGAAATCATGCTCTCTGGAAACATCCTTGCATAATTGTGTGAATCCTGTAAAATGAAAGCATACTCAAGAATAAACAAAAACCTTAAGTTTATATATGCTTAACTGTCTCTGCTGAATTTCTCCTCTCTAATCAAAATCATTCCTGCCAAATCCATTTTTCTTGCTAGTATTAGGCTAATTTTATTGAGGTACAGAGTACATGTTATTTGCATGCCCGGATACATATCCTGACTTTGTATTACTTAAAGAAAAGTGCAGACTGTCTCACTTAACATTTTAAACTCTAAACCAGTGATGGTGAACCTTGTGGAGCTTTCGCTGATGCCAACAGCCCTCTGTACCATGCTTGATGTAGGTTTTCCACCATTGCCCCAAACCATAGGACATCAAGATAGCTACCCCAGTGTCCTCTTCCATTTGTTTCTTTATCCTCCTACAGTGCAGCAAAGTTGAACTACGAGTTGTTTCATATGTGTCTGTACTTTTTTTTGTACCAGGGCTTGAACTCACGACCCCATCTTGCCAGGCAGTTGCTTATGCCACTAAGCTAAATTCCCGGCCTGTGTTCTGCACTTTTGACCACTGAAATTTATTCTTGCTCTTTCCCCTACTACAACCTTAGTTGTGCAAATCCCTAGTTACCATATTGCATGTTGGCTAGACACTAAATTTTGGACTTCTTTTATTAAAAGTATAATCAAATGTATAGACATTCTATCTGAAGAAATTGGAGACAGGTTGTTATTCCAATTTGATTCATCTGTAACCTCGAGGTAGGTGATGTTTACTCAGAAGAGGGTATGTTGCCTTGAAACAATAGTTACAGGAAAAGATTTGTAAAATATTTCCTGGAGGCTGGTGGTTTAAGCTATAACTGAATTGCCTGATTACATCGTTATTCTTGTTTTGTGTAACCTAATATACTTCCTTGTTAACATGAACCTTTTTATTGTGCTGTATAATATTTATAGAGAAATTACAATTCTGCTTTTCACAGAATGTTGGAGTAGGTCCATCGTATATAGTGTTAAGCTTTGACGTTTCTCAAAGGGAAATATATTTTGATATTTCCTGACGAACAGCTCAAGTGATGAAAAACAACCATCTTTCCTTTGTTGTTACTCTATTTCCAGGTTTGATTTAAATGTACAAATAAACAGTTCTTTTATTGGCTGGCAGTTCACTAGATTCTCAAAAGCTTAACCCAGGTGAAACAAGAGAAACAATTAAGTACTGTTTTCTATCTTACCACCTGTTTCAGAGAGGAAAAGCCCTTTAAAAGCTTTCTTTTCAATTTTCCAGCTGAATAACCTCAATAAATAGTTTATGATACATCCAGGAGATCTTAATGTGGAAGGAGTGAGAAAGTAATTTCAAAATTACAGGAAACATTGACCTCAGCACTGCACGAGTCTTTCTCTCTCTGGGATAAATCAGGATTCTTCAGTTGGCTGCCCCCTGGGGGCTCTTGCACCTGAAGGGGTACCACTGCGGTTTTGGGCTTAGGGTTGTATCTCCATTTGACAGAAAATCAAGGCACCTTTCTTTTTTGCTTCCTCAACCTGGATACCTATCCTTTAAATGTCACTCCTGACCCCAAGTGAGATTAAGATAAAAGTCCTGGTGTAATACTGCCTTTAAAAAAAATTCTTAAGTGAATAAAGGAAGGAGCTAACACAACCTTAGCATGCCTGATCACTAACTGCACCTTTACTTTCAAAATAGCGTGCAGGCTTTGCTCTGCACCACTGCTATTAAAACTGTGGAGAGTCATTTCAACTAATTTTAGGGAAAATCGCCCCTTGATGTCTTGTAAGAATTAGGAATGCTCAGCTCAGCCGAGTGAGCAGCACATAGTCAATGTCAGTTCACATTCTGCTACAGCTCGCGTGCCTTATTTATTCCAGGAAAATATATTCCAAATAATTTAAAATAAAGCAAATTTGAGGTAGTTTCTGATGTGAACTACACCAGTTTGTAGCTCACAGCTGTTAGTTAATGGTGCAGATTTGTTTTTAGAGATAAATGTAATCAGTTAAATATTTGACTGCCACATTCATCTAATGGAATGATGTTTGTATGCAAATGCACTGAAGTAAAATTTAGAGCATAACAGCCAATAGATCATGTTCTAGTTTGCAGTAACCTGCTTTCTTGAATTTTCACATTAGATTTTTCATATTTTTGTGCTCAGCTATAGTACGTGAAAAGAAGGAGTCTTAAGGCATGTTTGTTTTCGAATCCAAGAGAATTCTTTTGGGTGATTTGATTCCCTGTTTGGAAACCTCCAGTTTAATTTCCCTTTGAGGATTTAATTTCTCTTTGAGTATTTTAAGACATTTTATCCCTGTTGGCTTGTCTTTTACTTTAAATTATATGCAACTGTAGTGAATCTGCTTGGGCTGGTTGTGACATAGGTTTGCATGTGAAGAGTCATGAAATGTACACCAAAATGTTATTACCATATTAATACTTCAACCTTTGGGAAATGGTGAAGAGAAGTGTAATGGATAAAGTGGAAGTAGAAGTTTCATGTATCACTTCTCATGTCTCATTGGTCAACAGTGTGGCATATCTCCTACACAAATTGCAAGGGATTTTGGGAATTACAATTTATTTATGACAGCCATATTCCTAGATAAAAATTCTATTACTAATGAAGAAAGAAAAATCGTTAATGGTTTTATTTTTGGTGATCATCTTGTATCTTGCTCACAAATGGCTGTACTTTGGGGTTAAAGTTTATCATTCTTCTCCAAATGTCCATTTTCTTCACATGTTTAACCATTTGGGTAAACTGTTTCTATGAAACTCAAATGTTTGTTAGCTGCATTGATTTACTCTAAATATTCCAAGAACTTCAATTCTGAACTCTGTTGTCAAGTATTTTATTGTCTTTTAGACAGTATTTGTATTACTCATTTGACACTAATTTTCTTGCATTCACTACTAATTCTTTTTAATCTGTTTACCAGGTCTATGATAAGAATTCTGTAAATGTTGAATTAAAAGCTCAGAGATTTCCCAATAGACAACATGTTTCTCAAGATGGTACTAAGACTAGTATTTGGGAGTACAAGCTATCTTATCAACCTTTTAAAATGTTTTTACACACAATTTTCCAGAATTGAATATTTGTTGCTTATCATTCTTTTGAGTTGATATTCAATGCTTTGCTCATGAATCATATATAATCTTTCTCATACCGTCTTAACCAAACATGCATGTCCTAGTCTTGACAAGTTTTCTATTATTTTATTGAAATAGAACAACTGGGTCAAAAGCCTCATTTTTTTTCTCACTTTTGACACATTGCTAATCTTTATACTAAATTTACAATATTTTGTTGATGCCCCCAAAAGGCACTTCTGATGCTCCATGCTGGCAGTTTTGGTATTCACTGCAGTGTGTCCTTGATTGGAAAATGTCTCAGTTGGGGGCTCAGCAGGAAACAGATGGCTCACACAGATAGAGTAATTAGGAAGTGTTTAATAAAGAAACTATTTACAAAGATGTGGGCAGGGTTAAGGAAAACTAACTAGGGATGTTAAGCATGCTGGGGTCAGCACAGTGAAAAGCCACAGCCCCTAGGACTAAGAGGGAAGTAGAGGGTTTGGAGTCTACAACCGGCAGCTAGTACCTGTGACTGAGAAGACTGCCCAATAGCAGCTGTGGACTTAGGTAAAGGGACCTGGCTGCCCCATTATAGCCCATAGGGAGGAGCTCAGGGAACTAAAAGCCCCAGTTTCATTGTCATCCTGTCCTGCTTGTAGAATCCAAGTGCAATTTTGAGGTTAGCTGGTGAATTCCTAAAGGGAATATTCCTAGAGCAAGGCCAAGGAGACAGACAGGAATTCAAGGGGAAGAGACAAATGGAAAATAGTTTCTGGCTATAACTTTTTTCATTTTTTAATATATCAAGGAAGCTGTTGAATAAATGGTAATACATTATAGTTAAGTATCCACCTTGCCTATTTTCTGCTTTTACTTCAACCCCAATCTTAAGGCATAAAGGACATAGAGTAGAATTTATATTGAAAATGTTGAAACAAAAGAGATGAGTTCGTTACAATACCCTTTTAGATCCCTAAAACACGAAAATTATTCAACTTAACATTTAATGAGCAAAGCCATTCTGTGCACAGTATAAATTAAGTATGGTTAGTGAGTTTACAGTATGAATAAAAATACAGGAATGTAATAGAGGACATCTCCTTTGTCTAGAATACTCTGTAATTGTGGCATTAGTTATGTAGAGGACTTCAACACCATATGTTTTAACAAATACTTTGGGTCATGAGGGTATGTATAATGGAAGGACATAATTATAGTTTAATCTGCTCAGTAAAAAGGCACCATTAATTACTCTAAGCAATTTGTTGAGTTATTAATTGGATCTGGAAACATGTCAAGATACTAATTTAAACGGAATTTTTCCCCCTAATTGTCTAGACAGCCCCTCGCCCATGTACCGCCCCAGGAAATATGCAGCCTCCAATTCGATTACAGCCTCTTCCCAGTAACCCTGCAGTGGCTACTGTTTCAAAGCCTACCTTGGGCTCCAGATCAAAATCTTCATTGCTCCGAAAGGAAGCTCCTTTTCCCATTGAGGTAAATATTATTTTTTTAAGAAACACTTTTATTCTTGATCAGAGTATCAGTTCATCATGGTCTAAGATACTATATACTGTTAATCCACTCACTGAGTTTTCTGCTGTGTATTTATTAAGCACCTACTGTGTACTTCTGATGAATCATGTCTGACTCTAAGTGTAAGGCCTAGAAAATCTGTGTTATTTAGCAGAAAGCATAAGGACTAGATATGTAATAATGTATAGTGATTTCTTACTAAGTCGAAAAGCTGATTGAAAACAAAGATAAAAGACCTTATAGCCATACATGACTTCTATCAGAAATGACCCAGTGTTAACTCTACAGATTTTAAATGCATGAAATGTAGAAAATGAAAATTTCTAAGAATAGGTTTGCGTTTGCATGCTGGCTTACTTTTCCATCAGTGTATGAAATTGCTTCAAGTTTGACTCTTAGCTGAATATAGAAGGAAAAGTATGTCCATCTTTAAAAAATGGTGAGTTAATCACACCTAGGAGCTTACTCTGCTTCCCTTTCAAGATTGTGTCCCAGGTAATTCTCACTTATTTAAATACAGCACCAGAAGAAAGCATGGTAGCTGTTAAATATGAGTTATATAAACAGGGAGGAATCATGAGGACCCCGGTAACTAGGGAGGACTTTGTGTTTCTAATGTGAAGAAGAAACATTTGCCTGCTAAAGAAGGAACCTATGTCATGAGCATAATTATTGTTATTTGGGAAGGGATGAATTGTGCTGTACTCTTTAGAAGGTGACACTAGACATGTGAAATTAAGGATATAGTATTTTGTCTTTACCTTGACATGAAGAGATTAATTCAGATAAATAAATCTGTTTCACAGTAAAGGTCTAACTATAACTCTAAAAGAATAACTCTAAAAGAATAATAGTTTAATTCATTTCAGATGGTTTTCAGCTTGGGTAACACTTTTCACAAACATTCTTTTAGTTAATTTAGAAAGCAGGAGAAATGCATCCAAAGTAGTGGCTCTTTGCCTTTAGAAAACTGCTCAAAGCTATACAGGAATGGGTTGTGTCATAAGTTAATTAGTTTCGCACTTTTTAGCATCTGGTCTCCAATCTAAGGTCCCAACGCAGATTTACTGTTTCAGCCAGTGTGCAGGAATGTTCTGGTCCAGGGAGAGTGGGGGGAGTGTCTCAAGACTCTAAAAGAACTGACAACCAGAATTCAAAATAGGGAGCATATATGTTCATCAGGGGCCATTAATTCAAGAGATATCAAGCAGTTATAGCTCCTAGAAGTGCCTTTCTCATAGGCAGAGCACATGGGAAGCCAGATCACAATGAGAAGGTTGCCTGGTGAGCATGGAATCAGAATGAGGAGAGGTGGTGTCATGAATAGAACATTAATGCGACCAGGCTTAGATGTCCTGGGGCACCCATCTCATCTTGGGAATGGGCTTGCCTAAAGGACCAGAAAACTCAAAGACCTCCTGTGTCTTCCAGGCAAAACATTGCCATCAGGACTAGAAAGATTCAAAGTCCAATGGGTAGGATTTTTTCTCCCTCAACCAGTACTCAGATGAGTACTTTCTGTGTTTGTCTAAGTGATTATATTTTTTCCAAGTCCAATAATTATGAATTCTACTATGCATGGTGCATTTGCTTTTTAGATAGGTCAATATTATCAACTTAGTAATATTCAAGTTCTGTTGGTTAGGGAGTGATTTTTTTGTTTTCTTTTCAGTTGGTTTTCCAAATCTACTTTAAGCTACCAGATAGATTTGCTACTAAATCTACATGGGGATTTATTTTCCTGTTACTAAGTTTTTGGAGTGATTGTTATTGATTATTGAATGACCAGCACTTAATGGTAGCTTGTAAGTGCTGAAAAGACTGAGCTCAATTCTCTGTTAGTTTGGAGTAGCTAAATTCACTTTTCATTAGGTATGTATGTATGAGGCTCTTACTATGGGCTGGGTACTGGTATGATATATCTGTTATCAAGGCAGGCATAAATAACACACTGGAGTTTATAATATAATGTATATAAGCAAAATATACTGTGAGAAACAGACTTGCTATTTTTTTTCCTGTAGCATTGAAGTAGAAATGTTTTAATGTAAAATCGAACTAGAAATTCCTAATGAAGCATAGTAGTTTGAATGATTGCTAAGTGTGTAGCACTAATGATTGTGAACTGTCTTACCGCTTTTTAAAGAGTAAAGGATCTCTTGTAGGTGCAGTAGATAAAAGCAGGTTGACTGTTACTTAGCAGCAAGAACAATGGGTTCCAGGCAAGAGTGATTTGGTGTAAAACAGACTGGTTGAGATGTAAGTAAAAGTAGTCACATGACTAAAAATGAATATTCCCAGAATGGAAGTTTCTTACATAATGTTGGTAGCAGTAGAAATTGGTTCAACTCTTTGTGAAAGAAATATTGGGAATATCTATCAATATAAATTAATGTGCTCATACATTTCAACACTCAGGATTTGAAGAATGCACACATTTGTGCAAAATAAATGCAAGAATTTTTTGTACTATTTTGTTTGTAAAGGTGAAACTCCAGTATGTAAGAGCATTATTTAAAAACATTATAGTATGTTAAGGCCCATTTAAAAAATATAACAGAATTATCAGTAATGGCATGAAATGTTATGCAAGATACTGTGAGCTGAATAAGCAAAGAAAAACATATTGATTTAGAAAAATGAGCAAACCATTTCTAAATAAGGCATCTGATGCCCTAATTCCTACTCAGAAATTCACTAATACCTAGTCAGAAATACATTAAAAAATCCCCTAGTCAGAGAAGTTCCAGATTCACTAACGTTATTGCTATTATTTTTACTATTATTATTTGCTAACTCCCATATAGATGCAGCCTATTATAGAAAATGTAAGCAAAGAAAAATGAGAAATAATGCAATGCAACAGCAACCATTTTCTCCATAATAAATGTTTTTGTGAATATTTAAATCCTCTTACATTCATGTAGTTGATGTTTTCTATCAAAATTTGGACTTTACATATAAATAAATTTAGTCTATTTCTACTTATTTAGCAATAAAAATGTTTGGAGAATAACTTCCTTGTCTAACTTTTAACTATTCAGAATCTCAAAAGAAGGTCAAAATTGACTTAAATTATAAATAAAAATATGACATAAGTTATATTTTAGAAGAATAAATATAAAACAAGTTGGTATAAAATAGACAAAAATCGGTAAATAGTCCTTAAAACTTGAAAAACTATCTCAGATACACAAAAATTACCAATTTGTGAATATTTAGAGACTTCTGTGTCCTAATAGACATAACACAATTGTATCTTTAGAGTTGATTAAAGTATAATAAGGTTGTAAGTGTTGAATAAAGAACCATGAGATATATCATCATTGGCAACTCCATTGTCAAGTTCTTCTAGTTATATTGTGTTTAGTCAAAATCCATATATAAATTATTTAAAAGAAATGTATGCAAGCCATGCTTATTATTTTATGCTAGGATAGAAAGGTTTCCCGTCTTTCTCTTTATAGTCTGGTGTGAATCTTTTGTATAAACCCAAACTTAATTAACCGTCTTCCTACTGATGGACTTTTGCTATTTTTAATGACTCAATGAAATTCATTTTGTGTGTGTCTGTTTGTGCATGCATATGTATGTCTGTTTCTTATACATATTTGTATTAGTGTACTTGCGTAGCTATCTGTGTATGATTGTTACCTACCAGAAGACTTTCTTGTTTAAATATAGGCGTCTTAAAATTTTGGTAAATATCTCAATGCTCCCCTAGACACGTGTCAAAGTCAAACAGTCTATGAGGTTGCTATTTGTTCACTGCCTTGCTAATACTATTTTTATACCTGAATTAATGCAGTCAGATGTAAAAAAAAAAAAAGCACCAACTACATGCTGCTAAGTGTTCTATCCAGTCTAACTGATCACATTAAAGACTTCTTGATTTTAAATCATTCAGTTGTACTATATTCCACAGGGATTTGATGGATTGTTAAGAAAAAAAATCCAAAATCCTATAAAGTATCATTACTTACTGTAGGCTAAAAATATACTACCTAAGGTTAGCAATTTATGAATAGTCAATTTTCTATGGCTACTACCATGTGCCGATTCTCAGCAGACTGGGCTGTTGTGAATTTGTCTCCTGGTATCAGCTGTGCTTGTGGGCAGTGTGAGTCCTACATACTCCTCTTACTGAATGTCGGATTATATCGGGTCCCTGCTACAGTGCCAGTGGTTCTTATATCACCAAATGTGATTACAGGGCAAGAAGGCAATGAAGAAGTTCAGGAACTCCACAGAGAAATCCCAGAGATTGAATCCATATCAACTTCCGAACATGAACAGCTGTCTGATACCTTTTCCTCCGCCAACGCCTCCCCCAAATAGAAAGGTCCAACGCGAAAGCAAGTCTGAGACGTGGAAAGGGAGGAGATTTCGTCCAACCACTGCTACAAACGGCTTAGAACCTCTCTTTACCAGGGTGATCATGGAACACATTTTTCCTTTATTCATTTAAAATAGGTTACATTGCACTGGTAAGGAGTTTTAGCAGAATTTGGGGGGAATAACATGCAAAATGCCTTGTATAAGGAAAAACAGCAATCTAAGTGTAACTGTAAGTTTTAATGAATCTGAAACTCAAGATCTGAATAGTTGAGTTGACAGAATTTAGTACAGTTGACAGAAGGCTCTAAACCATCTGGTTAAATCTAATTTAAACCATGTGATTAAATATAATTTTTGAGACTGTTTCCTGAAATTATTTCCTGAAAAATATTGTTGAAAAACATAGTTCTAAAGACAGATGAACTTTAACAGACTCAGACCTATTCGATTCTGTTATGTAAATATAAGCCATTATTATTCATAACCAACTTCTGTGATTATTAGCAGATAGCTGGGTACAGAGTACAAACGAGTGCCAGAGTGAGAAACTCCGCCTTGCACATTGGTTTTGCCTTCTGGATTTTCTAGACCAGTGCTTTCTTCACCCCATGCCCATCTCTCATGACCAGTAGCTGTTCTCACCTCTAACCTTCTCAAAACCCTGGGACTCTTTCTCCCACCTGCTTCAGCTTCCTCCTTTTAACTCAGTTTTTAGTTGTCTGCCTTTGTTATGCCTCTGATGCAGCCTTCTCTCTTATCCCGGAGGAGCCATCTTTGCTCGTGTCCTTGATCTCTGGCTTTTCCGTCAGCTCACAGGACCTTGAACACTGCCATCCTTTCTTTCTAATTTGGACTTTTAAATTTTTTTCTCTAGTAATCTCCTCTGCCTGTCAGTGTACCCAGGCCTTACATAGAGAAACCTGGGCTGTCACCTTTGACCTCTGTTTTCTCTTTTCCTTCACTGCAAAGTTCACTGAACAGTAAATACTACTGTAGCTTCCTCTAGCAATACAACTACAGTTTGCAGCAGAAAGGTTTATTTCTTGCTCTTTTGGTCATCTTTGTTGATCAGTTGCAGTGCTGGGCCCCAGATTGGAGGAGCAGCTGTTTGAAGAGTTGGGTTGTGTTGACCTCACGGCCACAGAGTCTTGATGTGATTTTAGGGTTATGTTTTAAAGTGGCACTGGTGACTCACTTGTGAATTCCACTGCCACCACAAGCTCTGACCAAGCCTGACAATTATGGAATGGGAAGCATTACCCTTTCATAGAGCTGGACAGTCACTATTTGAAACAATAACAGAATCTACCAATCTGTTATCTTACATTTGAGTTCTTTTTTTTTTTTTTTTACTTAAAAAATTTTTTTTTTTTTTTTTTGGTATTTTTGGGAACTGAACCCAGGTCCTCACACATGCTGGGCAAATATTCTACCACTGAACTACTCACCAGCCCTTATGAACCCTGCATTTTGGCATTTAATTCCACCATGCCAGTGAACATGCTTCTTGAAGAGTGTGGCCCCCATCTACCAAATCAGTGACTTCCTATCATTTTCAGATAACTGTGTGGCAGCATTTAATTTCTGATGTTGAATTATATGACTGAGATTAACTTTAGCTGGTTAGAAACAAACAGTTTATGACCCTTAGCAACATACTAACTCTGCATGTACAAGTTAAACGACAATGAAGTATATACCTACATTTCTACCACTTAGTGAAACTGAGCTTTATTTTGCTACTAATGCATGCAAGACCCTTCATTCTGGCCCATCCTGTTCTCTACTCTCCCAGAGAGAGCACTGTCCTGACTTCTGTGTTAATTCTATCCCTGTTTTTTTTTAGAGTTCATCAAATATGTGCATTAAACTTCAGAAGTAAGTTCAAATGTAAGTTTATGATGAAAGGACAGTATTTCTAGGAGAAAAGAGGACATTTGGGTGAGACCCTGGGTTTGATTCCTTGACAGTTTTAAAAGCCCTTCCTAGGGGAAGCAGAGAAGAAAACACAGAACTGGCCAGAATTGGGGTATCTGGTGAGGTCCTGCTGCAGGCCTGACACTGGGCACCCATCAGGAGTATGACCAGGGAAACGGGCTTCTGGAGCTGAACACAGAAGAAAGACAAGCAACTTCTCATCCTCTGGGCATGACCACGATGCAAACCAGCCCCAGAGCCAGGTTCTCAAAGGAGATAGCACTTAGATTAGGGCCACAGCATGGGGTCAGCAGGCATGGGGACTCTGACAGCCCTTGCAGGCCAATCTGGCTCTCCAGTCATGGCTACAGTATCATCTGTGTGTTTCTTCTTCCTTTTTCTGTTTTTTTTTCTCCTTCCCCTCCCCTCCCTCCCCTTCCCATCCCTCCCTCTCCCTTCCCCCTTCTTGTACTCTCCCCCTTCCCTTCCCCCACCCTCTCCCTCTCCCTCTCTGCCTATTGCTCTCTTTCTCTTGACTATTTCCTTTTTAGAATTCTCACTGTGGTTATGTTAGAACTACTAGACAGATGCTCTGATAGTCTTTGCCTCTCTCTCTCACTTTCTACCGCTTCTCCTTTATTTTACTGATGAAAGCCCTCCAAATTATCCCTGTGCAATTACAGCTGTCTGATTGATAGGTCCTACTGCCCCTCAAGTTCAGCATAGTCACATTTTTAAGCCAACATCTCTACTTAATTGCCTTATTTCTCTTTAGGCACAGGCTTTTCTTTACTAATTTAGTCTCAAAATTAGAATTCCTTCTTCCTTCTGTATTACATGTCCGGTTAATTGCTAAATTCCCTAGATCAGTCACCTAAAAGAAATATAAGCCACATTTACAGTTTTAAATTTTCTAATAGCCATGTTAGAAAAAGTAGAGAAATGTGAAATAATTTTAATAACATTTTATTTAATCAGGCGCATGCAAAATACAAACATTTTAACATGAATCAATATGAAATATTTTAAGGAGATATTGTATATTTTTATACTAAGTCTTTGAAACTCAAAGATTATTTTATACTTGTGGCACATTTCATTTAACTGAGTCACCTTTCAGATGCCAGCAACCAAGTGGGACAAACTTTTTACCATCTTAGCACGGGTCTAGGTGCCACCTTGTCAGTGTCTCATATATCTGATAAACATTTTCCATCCTCACTGCCACATCTCCAGGTCAGGGGACTTACTATTGCAGTCTTACTTCTATGCTTATGCCCTGCTTTCTAAGTCAACAAGTAACTCAACTGAGCTTTTACTGACCATAATGAAAGCTATGCTAGAAGCTGAGCTTACCAAGGTGGGTAAGATCCAGTCCTGAGCTCAGAAACAGCTTGTAGTCCCAGTTCAGGAAGGGAAAAAGAAATGTATACAGTTAGCATGACAATGTGTGATGAATACCATCGCTGTGGTGTAATAAGGCATACTGGGAACACGGAGGACGGAAGGAAATATTACTTCTGACTGAGAAGATTGGAGAACGCCTCTGAGAGAGTGTTTGAAATGGGCTATGAATGCTGATTAGGAAGTTAGATTCAGAAAGTAAAGAGTGAAACTCAGGAAGGGGAGAGAAAAGTAAACAAAATTCATCTTAGTTTTAGTAGATTCTACATAATGATATTAAATTAAACTTTATAGAATACCTCCAAATATATTTCTCTTTGGCTTAAAATTTCTCCTAGCTGGCCCTTTCCTAATGAAAGCAGCTGTATTTTTCTGCCTGGTCATTTTAAACTATGGGTGTTTTTCTTTTGATTTCCTTTTGTTGAAATCAGGTATGATGGACTCTATAGAACAGGAGACAATCACCTTTAAAAAAAGACAGCTTCAGATTCATGTACTCAAGAGGAGGGGATATGACCCCAAGTGCATCCATCAGGGTCCATTCGGAACAATAGTCACCCCTGTCCGTGCAAGGTGCTCACAGGAAGTTAAAGATAAACTAACCACCCACCACTTAGTGCAGGGACATGGGATAAGTCAAGAGGCAGAGGGAGTGCAGAGGGAGATGGGATTTCCACGGGAAGGAGTGGGTGAGGTAGATGTGGTGGGGTTGGGTGGGTAATTTCAGTGGGCTCTTCAGGGAGGCTCTGTCCTGAGTTGTCTCTAACCTGTTCCTCAGATGGCACCTGATAGCAGACGGGAATATTGACCCTGAGTATGTGGCCTGGGAAAGGACATGGAGGCAGACGTGGGCTCTGAGTTGGTTTGTGTGCAATGAAAAATGATGTCAGCCAGGTCCTTTAGAGGCATCTAAGAAGTGCTTAGCCCAAGGTCACTGGGGTCCCTGGTGCCAAGGTGTCCGAATAAGAAGTTTTGCTTCACACTTTGGCATTTGGGGTCTCTCAGATGCTGGCCTGTTTCCTTTTCACTCTCAGTCTCGCGAGCCTGAATTACTTCTGCTTTCATTTGGTCCATCAATCTTTCCTCCCTACATGATTTTACTTTTCACTGGGAATTCACCCATTTTCAAATCATCTAATTTTTTTCTCATCCAATTGCCTGTTGTCATAGGTTTGCCTTTTGTTAATTTTTTCATGAAAATATGGAAGCTTACATTTAATGGTGACCAAATGGTTACAGCCAGTATTTAGTGGCTATTTAGTATATGGTGGTGATTTTCCTCAGGATTTAACATACACTTTATCATCTGATGGACAACATACTTCAGAAAGAGGCATAATTTTTTCATTTTACAAGTGAGGCAACAGACACCAGACAGGTGAAATAAGTGGCCCAAGATCACAGAGTTAATTAGCAGCAGATTAAATGTACAACCCAGCCAGCTGACATTTGGGCTTACGTGTCAATTTGGATAATCCTCATATCCATATTATTGGAACTTACCTGGGAGACCCTTTTCCTCCTCGAATCTCCGAAGATATTAATTGTAACTGGTGAGCTGTTTTTTTAACACTAAGTCTAGCCAGACTCTTAGCTGCCATTCATATTAGGAAGGCAAATATTCATTCTCTCAAATTGCTTGTGAGTACCGGAGAGATAAGAAGGATGTGTAATCACCATAAAGCCTCTGCTCTCCAGCGTGTATCTATGCAGCTGTCATCAGGGAATTCTATTTTTTCCTGACTTCAAAAAGATACTGTTACTTCGCTCATG